TTGTTTGGTTTCCTTGGCTGCCAGCTGAAAAAAAGTGATTTGAAGTATATTTCTGAATACCAGAACTTTCAAATGTTAACATGCTTACATCTTTTATTCCTATTTCTGCATCTATTAATTATATTTTCAGAGGGAAATGCAGGAAGCTGTAGACAGTCAAGTTTTTAGGATTTGCTTTTGGTTGCTTTTAAATAAAATCAAAGAGTAACAACTGGTACAGATGTCACTGAAAATGTTCCAATTATTCTGCAGACATAAATGGTCAGTATTACTGTTTGAATCTTAAAGGTTTTATTTAATAAATACCTTTGTCAGCCACTACCAAACAGCTCAGGAAAGAGACTTAATCTTTTATGGACTCGTGGCTCTAATTTAGCCACACTGTATTTCCTGTCAGTGTAAACAAGACAGTCATATTCAGAACATATCAAGACATAAAAATGTGTGTTTGTTTGTATGTGAATAAAGCTAACTTAAAAAATGTCTATTTTTCTGCAGATTTATAATCTTGGATTTATAGTTCTTCATAACTGAGGCATTTCAGACTAGCAGGTGTGCACTGTTGCCTTGAGGTGATAAAGAGAACATACTCAAAATCCAGCTTTTACAGTTCAGCAATAAATTTTATCCAGTTCAAAACCTTCAAACCAGCAGTTGAGGCTTTTCACATTTGCTCTAAATACTCATATCTTGTCTATGAGAAACATCTGTTGTGTGACAAGCTTTAACAAAGCAGCCAGTCCCATCCAAAGCACGCACATGGTTCATTGAAAAAACTGATTGTTAGTGCATGTGATGATGCATCCTACTGATATTTTTTGCAATTTTCCAATAATAATAAAATCCCAGAAAGTTCTTTTATAATGCTGTAAAAATGGATTCAAATTATACACCTACCTTTATATTTAGGGAATAAGGAAAATAGATTTAATGAAGTAAAGTGAGCTCTGTAACTCTTTTTACTGAAGTGCATCAGTCCTTCCTGACTTGCCATCAAGTAGAACAGTAGCATACAAGGTGTTGTTTAGGACATGGTCATCATAACTCTTTAAGTTAGATAAGTAATCACTTTTCTGCCAAATTAAAAAGTTCTGGTCACTTGACTTTATTGTCCTAACTTTGAAGCACAGTCAGTTCCCTTCAGTTGCACCAACAAAGAGCTGACAGCCACTTGGATGTTCAGAATTCCTCAATTTCTTAAAAGCAGGTGTTTCCAAAGCATTCCAGGAGTAGCTGGAATGGAAACTCCAGCTTCTGCAATATTGAAAACACAGTTATATTACTTCAAACTTTTGGAACTTTTATTGCTTTTTTTTCCTTCTGTTTGAAAGCTGGTAACATTTCATGCCAAGCTGTGAATCCTTGTGTGTTGATGTTCTGCTGCGCCCTCCTTGCAGGACACTTTGGTTTTATTTCACTTATTACATGCAACTGTGAAAGGAATTGCTGGTTGATTCCACCATCCCACTTCCTGATAGTGACCCCAGCACACGGACAAGTCGTGACAGCCAGATCTCCAGTATCCCTTGTCACTCCTTTTATATGACTCCTGATACATTTCCCTTTTGCTTTATCGACTGAAGGAAGTGTTGACGCTGGTGTCTTCGTTTTATGCTGGAAAAAATAAGTGCTTTTTGCTTATCTTATCAGTGTATTCTGGCAGAATTTTCAAATAGAAGGGCAGATCAGCAGAGCTGTGGCTTGTTGGTTAAATGACTCAGATAAGAATCTCACTTTGATCTAGTTCCTACACATTTGCAAAATGTACTTTCAAGCACAGGGACATGTTATGGGGGGTTATTTTTTTTAGCCCTATGGCTCAATATTTATTATTATTATTATTTTTCCTTTTTGGAAAGGGGAGTGTATGACAGGTCTAGACTATTTCTTTTAAACCACTGAATATTTTCAGTTTTTGCATTGCACAAACTATAGGAAATTTTAGGGTCTGTTCTTCTGAAGTGGTAGCTGTTTCCCACAATAGAGAGTTCCTTCTTATATCCCATGAATTGCTGGCACAAAGTCATGCTAGTGTGTGGTAGATAAACTGTAGGAGGGCAGCAAAGCCATTGATTCCTTGGGTTGATTTAGCTAATTATTAGAAATATGAAGAGCTTTGAAGGACTGTGTCCATATTCGTGTTGATATAATAAGAGTGATAGTTTTCAGTACCAAAAATGGTAGTAATATCAGGCTCTCAGGTAATGAGTGAGGCTGAAACCTTGTGGTGTAGTTTGAAAGAAGACGGCACAAATGGTGTCACTGATTCCCACCCTTCAGCCATGGATTTGCTGTTCTGTTCTCACCAGATCCATCTCTGTCTTTGTGAATGCTGGGTGAGTGCCCAGAGTCAGATTCACTGCCTTCTTGTTGTACAGGATCTTTTTAACAAACTGTGAAAAATGATGTGGTGTGGAAATGGTGGTTTTGGCCATCCAGTTTGTTTTGAAGCAGCCTCGTGTTTCTTCCATGCTGGGGTGGAACCAGCAAACACTTCCTACAGTGGAGCCACTGGATGTACAAACACTGGGATAACTTTTTCCTTTATTACTGGTGAACAGCTACTGGCTGGTACCTACCCACCCGCTAAGTGACAGCCCTTTTACATGCTCAACATCTGCTCAGCTGCAAGAAGTAGCTTATTCATCTTGTTATTGAGCTGCTATTTCTGGAAAACACAGTGAAGTGGAACTGAACTGGGAAAGGATTTTATTTCTGTCGCCTGGCTTTGTTGGAAATAGTCATCTTTTAGATTTCAGATTCATTTTGATAGTATGGAGATAGTGTTTGAAAAAACAGGCAGTTAAAGGAGGATCTGCACTTGTAGGGTATCAAAAGCATGGCCAGTGTGAGCTCTGTGTTCAGTTTGGCCTGACAAAATGATGTGTTTGCTGGGCACGTTTGGGCATCACTGGGAGGTGCCATGAGTCAGAAAGTTGCAGCTGCAACCAGTTAAGCTGGATTTGGAACTGGAAGTCAATTCAAAGGAATTAATTCAGGTATTGCCTTTCCATGTGTGAAAATATGGTTTATCTCAATGTTTTTGTTGATGATCTGATAGATGTAAATTCAAGACCTGTACACTTTCAACACTAAAAGTTAAAGGGCTGAGGCAAACCCGTGCTTTGTCAAGCTTGGTGTCATCATCTTGTCAGTGAGAAACAGCCTTGTTGTTCACAACAACTTCTGATTGTGACATTTTTGTGGGGGTATTTTTGTTGTTTTGGTTTTTTTGTGGGTTTTGTTTTGTTTGGTTTTGTTTTGTTGTTTGCTTTTTTTTTTTTTTTTCCCTAGCTACAAAGAGCTTGTCTTCTTGACATTATTAATTGGGATGTAGAAGTACAGCAAATGTGTTTGGGAAACTGTTCCATGGTTAAGGCAATTGTAGGCTTTTGTGAATGCTCTGAAGTTTCTTGTTCAAACATTCTAACTTCAGTTCATTTCTGCAGACCACACAGAAATTTCCTTTTTAGCTCTTGGACTTATTAATTTAAAAAAGTGATAGAAAAGTTATTTATTGGTAATTGCATTAACTATAGCAAACTCCAGTTTTAATTGCACACTTCAAATGCTGCTGTTCTGGAGGAGAAATACCAGTTTAATTTTCTAATACATGGAGACAGTTAATGCCTATATGCTTTTTATTTCATTTGTTTAGCTGTTTATGTCCTGTAAACATGTTACATTACTCACCTGAGTTTTTCTAGACTCCTTGAGCAGCTCTCTGAAAAACTAATTAATGTAAATGTTAAAAAGAATGTGAAGTTCTGTTACAAGAAGTAAGGAAAAACATGGACAAGAAAGGGAAAATAAGGGAGGAACACAGTTTAAACCAAGGAATTGTAATGTCGAGCTTGTGTGCAACAGGTGACAAATGTTGGGAGAGGGTGTGTTTCTTCTGTGCCTGCAAGGTCTTATAGAAGAAAGGGGAAGGAAAGTTTTGGTGTTTATTCTTTCCCTCAGAACAGAAGGTTCTGCTTTTGCAGCTCCCTGATGAATGCTGGAATGAGGCTGAGCCCCTGCGCTGTGTTTTCTGGCTGGGTGGGATTGCAGGGGTGGGATGGAAATCCATTGGTGTCAGCCTTGTATCCTTCTGTGGTCAGTGCATGAATAATAGGCAAAAAGTTAAAAAAGATATGTCGAATGAGGCTTTAAAAGAAGGTGGTGGGTGAGTTTTGCAAGGTCTTCTGCTCATTTCAGGCACACTTCAAGGGCTGCTTTAGAAGATAAACGTTGAGAGATTTCAAGAACAGCACCCCTTGCCAAATCAAAGCTCCTCTAACTGTTTTCTCTGCAGTGCCCATGTCACAGCAAAAGTTAGGAGGGCTCAGAGCTGTGACTGGAATACAGAGGTTAAGACAGATGTTAAAATGCCTTTGTTTTTTTGGCTTCCTTTGGGCTTTAGATTTGTTATTTCCTCAAAAAGGAAAGGGTGGTAGTAGGAAGAGAAACAACAAAAGTTTCTTGTTAAAGTGGTTTAGGACTTTGTACACATGTGGTCTTTGAGATGTTTCCATGATGCTGCTGTTTTTTGCTCTTGCAGAGAACTCATCATAAAATATTAATAGCATTAATCTTAAAAGATTCAGCTCCTAACATAAGAATATGTAATCATGGTGCTGGGTGTTTATAATAGATGAAGCTCCTGTATGTCTTGTGAATGTATAATAGATACAGTTGTTACAGTCTTAAAATGGAATGTGATGTTCCAGGCATTCAGTGTAATTAGGTGCTACTTCCAGAGAGATGTGTTAAAACCTATTTTGCAAGAGCTTTTACATAGTAAGAGTTTTTCTTTAGGTAAAAAAAGATGCTCAGGAATTGTCATACTGCCTACAGGAGGTTCCTTGGTGTTTGGGGCATTAGCTCTGAGGTGGGGGAATAGGATACAGCCTTGTTCAACAGGATGGTGTTACTGAAGAGAAAGGTACCTCAGATGAAACTAGTAACACCTAGTTATTGCATTTTTTTTATTCCCCTCCAGAGTACAAAGCTGGTTGGAACAAGTAATGCAGATTTTCCCTCTGTGGACCCCGGAATGTACCAATTGGACATTTCTCTAAGAAGAGGACAGAATCTGGCAGCACGGGACCGTGGAGGTAAGTGTGTTGGTAAACACTCCTTACTGTTTGGGAACTTACCTGTCCACTGGGTACGTTTATACAAGGGTCTTAAAGTGACAATTGCATTCTGAATTGTAAGTCTGCCTGTTAAACTCTGCTTAAAACTGTGTAAAGGTTCTTTGGCTCAAAAGCACAAAGTGAAAAGAGTTAGGGCCAGATGAACCCATACAGGAGGAGGATTAAGATTTAGCTAATATTTGTTTAATTCTTCTGCTAGTTAATTTTCCTCCCTTTTTTTGAATGTTTCAAATGTAGGTGTGATAGATTTACTTGAACCATACAGATTTGTGCTGCCTTGCTCACACCAGGGCTGTCTCACTACTCATTTTGTTCCTTGACTGCTTAGCTGACAAATACCAGAGCTGTGTTTAAACACAGGTGTGCCCAGGCTTTACCTGTTGGCCAACCTTGCTGATCACATATTTTACAGTCTGCTCTGAGCCATGTGCCACACACACAATTCAGAGGCAGAAAGGGTTCATGAAAGTATTTTGACTCACAAGAATACAGTAGCCTGACTCAGTCCCTCTGTAGATGCAGCTGCAGCTCACATTTAAAATTAGATAAGTCATTCACTTCCTGAACAGCAGTGTGAGCATGATAAATCTTAACAAACAGCCTATGGTGGATTTGTCCTAGTATACTCCTTGTGAGAGAGAAAAAGACATAGTAAAAATTCAGCTGCAAATATAGGATTGGACAAGGGCCTTTCCATGCTTACCTGAGGAAGTTACCTGACTGCTTTCACATTGCAAATATGGGTTAGAAACTGTTTAGGCTGTTTACATTGGCAGGAAATTACATCAGTGATACTTATGTCACTGAAAATGAAATTGTAACATACTGTTACAGGAATAAAATTTTATGTATCATCCTCTTCTAAATATATTGTTATTGTGTCAAACTCTGCCTGTTGTTCATTAAAAATAGATATGCAAATGTTTTTGTTCCATAACCTAGAGAGTCTTGCCCTGTTTCTCCCTGATGTGCTGTGATTCAGTCACATTGATAATCTGTATTATTTATAAGTAAACAAAAATGTTCTTGTAAATGTGATTATTTGTAGCAAGGGAAACCTCTGTAATGTTTTCTTTTCCATAATGCAGGAGTCTAGGTCCATAGCAAGCAAAGGATAGGAGATCTGTCTGCTGACATGGAATCTCAGGTCCTGAAATGCACACAAGGTGCTGTATGAAATGTCAAGTGCTGGAAAAGAAAAACGCTGCTTGAGCAGAAAGGAAACCTCCTGAAGCTAGGAGACAACACGACAAGAGTGGTGTTTCCTCAGTACTCACTAGTCCTCGAGCATACACACCAACCCAGTTTTGGAGCCTGTAACTCACTTTGGGTAGTACACACCCATCACCTTTCAAAAGGCTGAGCAAATAATGTTTTTTTCTTTTGAAAATATACTGGGGAATGAGGTAGTTTTGGGCTCTGGTTTCACACAGTAATCTTGCAGCTTGAAATCTTACCAACAAGCAAGATGCCTCAGTTACTTTCTGCTCCCTTTCTGAATTTTTTTCCTGTTCCTGAAAAAGCTCAGCCTGTGCATCTTGAGCAGCCAAGAGAATGTTTCACTAAGCCACTGCAAGCTTGTCAGGAAGGAGCACGTCCATTGGGTCTTAATGAAGTGTACAAGATCCTGCAGACCAGGTGAGGAGCCACAGATGTGCTCCCTCCCCACATTGACCAGGTTTCAGATCTCAGCTGGGTTTAGGCTTCGAGGACTGAACCTTTGTTTCTCAAGGGGAAGATACAGAAACAGCACCTTGCACTAAGACACCAAGCTAGAACCTGTCCACTTAGGTACCATCCACTGTGTTTCTGCTTGTTTTCTCTTCCTCCTGGAGCTACTCAGAGTGAGATTGTAGGAGCACCTGCAAAACGTGGATGGAAGGGACTTCACAGGGATCAGGCAGGAGCTTAGTGGATTGTATGGCTGCTGCATGGCAAATGCCTTTAGAGCAGCTTCCAGTGCCTGCAGGGGCTCCAGGAAAGCTGGGGAGGGGCTTGGGACAAGGGCAGGGAGGGATGGGAGCAGGGGGAAGGGTTTCCAGCTGGCAGAGGGAGCTGGAGCTGAGATGGGAGGGAGAAATTCTGTGCTGTGAGGGTGGGGAGAGCCTGGCCCAGGTTGCCCAG